TAAAGCTTGTATGTTTTAGCAAAGAAAATAATACAAGAGGGGTAAAAATGTTTAAATTGTGTAATGGTGTGAAAGTTGAATGCTCTCATGCATTAGGAAATTTAGTTTCAATTACCTTGAGAAATATTTCTTCCTTGTAACTAATCCAAATTACAATCCTTTCAATTCCTTGTGATTCTTGCTTGACGTGCTTGATGCTTTGTGTATGATGAATGCATGATTTGATCCAGATGTTGGCATGACTGTTGGATGAGTGAAAAAAGCCATTTTGTTGTTTCTCATCCATTAATGAGTGTGTGTTTAGGTGTGATTCATTTTTGAGTTATATTGTTTTGGAAATTTTTATATGTATTTTGCACTTAACCATTGTTTCAGGCTTATGGTTTGATTTAGTTAGTGGTAAGTATTATCTTGTTTGTTCTTGTTAATTTGAACCATAAAATTGTCTTGTGCTAACCTTGTTGATTCCTAATTTTGTAGTTTGTCTTGGTTTTCTTTTTGTTGGAGATTTTTGTTAGGGACAAACAAAATGCTAAGTTGTGGAGAGTTGTTAAGGACCAAAATGTTGATATATTTGTAGATAATTTTGTGGTCCTTTACACTCTATTTTGATAATTAGTAGTGTTTAAGTTTGTAAATTGATGTAAATAAACAATTATATAGTTTATGTGGTAAATTACTTTGTTCACTTAGTTTTATGCTCATTTTATAGGTTTTGATGTTGGTCATTGGAGCATTGGAGCTTTGGGCAAGCTAGAGCCAAGAGTAAGGTGAAACAAGTCAAAAATTGGAGTGTGGTTCAAGCTAGCGCGCTAAGCACATTTTCAAGCGCGCTGCAAGGATTTTCGTATGTGGCAGAATGGAATTTTTGGGCCCGCTAAGCAACCTCATCCTGCTTAGCGCGGTCCACTGAATCAGAAAATATATTTTCGTGAAGCCCGCTTAGCGCGCTCAGGCCGCTTAGCGGGACTCAATTTTTGGGCACTTGTATAAGTAGTATTTTTGTGATATTTTGAGAACCAACTCTTATCAAACACACTAAAATCATATATTTAGGTCTAAGAACTACTTTTCATCATTTACAACTCAAGATCAAAGATTTCTATCTTAAATCTTTGATACTTTCTACTTTATCTTGATTAAGCTTTCTACTTTACTTGTTGATCAAGCTACCATGGTGATGGGTAGATAAATCCCTCTTTGTATCAAGACTAGAGGTAGATAATCATAATTTTTGTATGTATTTAGCTTGATATTTTATATGTGAACATGTTGATGATAAATATATGGTGAAATACCCTTGTTTTAAGGTTTATATTTGAGTTGATCATTATTGAGAAGTAAGTTCATCTCTTGATCTAAGTTTTCACTTATCAATAAACAATTTCTAGACATAGTTATATAAGTTGATATTCACTAATATTGAGCTTTTAACGTTATCAATTGATAGTTAGGTAGAGAGATCATCTAAGGATCAATTTGATAAAACTCACAATTTGTTTTAGAGATGAAACATATTGAGAGGATATGTGATTATATTTATTGTTAATGAGCTCATATACTTTATTGAGAAAACACGTCAGAAATATATTATCGAGCCCTAGTCTTGACACAATTTTACCAATCGTTTAAAACCAAAACTCTCTTTTACCGATACTTGATACTTTGCATGAAATTGAAACTTTCAGGTACTAAAACCAAAACCAAACCCTTTTATGAATCTTAAGCTTAAAACAATTATAATTGTAAAATAGTGATGATATCACACCAATCTCTGTGGAAAACGATAATTTAAATACTTGTGCTGTAAAGTGTTTTCAACAATGTACACAGGAAAAAAATGCAAAAAAATGTACTCAATTTTACCGTTTTTGATTGGTGTTGTGATAATGATGATAGAAAGTCTACATCTAGATATGTCTTTATGTTCAGTGGAACACCAATCTCATGATGTTCGAATAAGGAACCATTAGTAGCATGATGAGTAGCGGTGGCAAAATGGACCGGTCCGCACACCCGTTAAAAATGGTGGATTGGGTTGGAATTTTGGACCCGCCGCCCATCAAAACCCGTCATGCTAAAGACCACCGCCCGTCAAATCCCGCCCTGAAAAAACCCTTCGCCCACCAAAGCCCTTCGCGCCTTTTTGTTCAACTTTTCCCACCTTAAGTCCTCCATTTTTTAGTTAATTCTAGTAGGTTCAATTCTTGATGGTTTCATTTTATACATTTATTTTTTAATATATGCAATATTTAATAAGTAAATTTTGTTAATAATATGATTTATAAAAAATTAATCTAAAAAATAAGTGAAAAATCTAATTGAAATATAAAAAAAGCCTTTTAATATATTACAAAAAATATATATAAAATAAATAAAAAAGTAAGCGGGCAAGCTAGATTTTTGTGCCCACTTCCACTTGGCGGGCTTGCCCGCCCCACACTTTTTTTACCGGGCTTAAGGCAAGATAGGCCGGGGAGAGCGGTCTGTTTTGCCACATCTAATGATGAGTGTTAAATTGTTGTAAATTTGAGTGTGAATAATTAACATTCATCGACTTAATTCATTTGTTTTTGGTCAATAAATCTCAACTTTAGTGTATATTTGATATAGTTTACATTATAGTGTATATATTGTGTTATCGTGTAAATATCATTGATTTTAATTGTTTTTATCTCATTTTGTAGATATTCAAGCATTGATATTTAGTCATTGTTAGAAAGAGCATTGAATAAGATTTCCAACACTTTAAACCGTATAAAAATCAGAGTTACGGTTCTCAAGTTATGGCGAAAACAATGCTGATTTTTTCAATTTACTACAGGCTCGCCTCGAGCTCGCCAGGTGACGTAGATGCGATCCACAACACCCAGAAGCGTGAAAAAACGTTGTTTTGAGCCCCAGGCTCGCCCCGGGCGAGACTGTTTGGTCAAAATTTCATTATATATTGGCAAAAACACATTTTTTAAGTTATGTTTTGGGATATTTGTTTCTAATTCCTCAACCAACATTTTTTTTGGTCTTTAGAGCTTAGAAAATTATCAATGGAGGTTACAACTCGATGATTTGGGGAGGATGATTCTTGGATCATGATTGACACTGCGAGAGATTTTGATTCCTCTTCTCTCTTCCCTTTGTAATTTCTATTTATTATGAGTTTGTATGTAACTTTACCTTGATTATAAGTATATTTATTGCTCATTTGTATGTAACTCATTTTACAAATCAATGTTCATGATTGCTTTCTTTATTTGGGTTTGAGTTGTTGCAGAAATGGACGGTTCGAATCCTGATTTAGGATGAACATCTATTGGGTTTTGATTCTAGAGATATATTAACGATTAATATTTATTTGAGTATCAGAGCTTAATGCTTCTGTGTTGTTTGTATTGCGCTGAGAGATCGCCGATGCGAGTAATACGGTCGTTGTCTCACTCTGTGTTAGAGATAACCTCTATGTGAGAGATACATGATAATATTGACGAGTGATCTAGGTTGAGTACAATTGGGTAGTAAGTTCAAGTATTTGATAGGATAGATAAAATGAAAACTCGAAAGTTCTCAAATCTTCGAAAAATGTATTTATTTTATGTTCATAAGTTTTAATTCCCGCATTTACTTTAAACCCATTTTAATCCAAACTCATAAACTCGAGACTTGTCGAATGACAATTCAGTAGCAATAATCCATGTGGAGACGATATGATATAACCTATAAAAATATTTACTTTTACTTGCCTCTTTACTGCTTCAGCATATCACTCTCGTCTTGTGAGGTCGATATTGTTATTTCGTTGTGTGCGTGTCAAACCATGTTGTTAATGAATCTATTGAAGGAGTTGTGTAGCAATGAGGGTGACATTGTAACACTCACTGTTGATAATGTTTTTGTTGTTAATCTTGATAAGAACTCAGTTTCGCATGGGAGGATCAAGTATATTGAGATGAGTTTTTACTACTTGAGAGATCTTGTTAGTGAAGAAAAATTGCGATTGTGATATTATAATACCAAAAGGCTGATTTGTTAACCAATGAGGGTCACAATTGAAATGTTCAAAAGTTTGAAGATGAACATGGGCATGGAAGACTTAGAGCACTTGAATTAAGGTGGTGTGCTAAGATGATTTTGGTAATTCAAGTGTTATAACCAATTACCAAGGGTGTGTAACAGGTTACATGTGTCAAGACACTAGTGCAGAAATGACTTTTTACATCGGGTGAAACTGACTTTTTACATCGGTTCTGGGTCCGATGTAAAGTCAGGCGATATAGTAAATCAGATACTTTTTACATCGGTTCTGGGTCCGATGTAAAAAGTCCCTTTTTTACATCGGTTGTAATCTAAGACTGATGTAAAAAACAATTATAACATTATTTTAAAAAAATTGACACAACTTTTTACATCGGTTAAACGTGTGGACCGATGTAAAAAGTCCCTTTTTTACATCGGTTATAATCTAAACCCGATGTAATATATACAATTTTGAAAGTTTTTACATCAGTTGGGAGTAATAACTGATGTAAAATGTAAGAAATTTTTTTAAAATAAATTATTTATTTTCTGGATGTTTCCCTGTACAAAAATAATTTGTACCCATTTTTTCATATTAAAATATTAAATACATAAATAATTAAATAAACTGTTTAAGTTTCAAAATTAAAATATTAAATACATAAGTAATTCAATAAATTTTACATGAGTCATGAGTAATGCTCATCAATTGAAACAAATTCTAACAAAATTTATTTTGTAACAACATGTGAAGGACACATACATCCCGAAAAATATAAATATAGCATGCCTCTTAAAAGTCTATCAATTGATATAATAATTATTCACAAATAAGTATGCCTCTGCACGGTTTTGTCAATATGGTGGAAACTTCATCTAAATTTGGCATAAAAATATAAATAAATATAGTCTTCCTCTTTACAGCCTATCTATTGATATAATTATGCTAGATGCAATCTCCACTTTATAGGTACAAAAGCTAATGAATTTCAGAAAAGAAGATTACCAATAATAGCATCACGTGCAATATCTGCAGTAGCATCTCCTTTAGTACCATAAAATTTGGTGTAACGCCTGATAATCAAGTTTCATTAGTTTTGTATGGTCTTTAAACAAGAAACCTTCTTATTCACGTTTTCTACCACTAACCTGTTATAAACCCGCCTTCCAGGGAACTTCACTTCAGGGCTGTCCCATGCCAATGAAAAAGTCACGTTGCATTGAGCATTAGGTGGAATAGTCACAGTTGCTGCAATAGCTGCTCCAATGGATGATCCTGGTTCTGAAGGCACCGACGTTCCAATAAAATTCAGATGGTCAAATGACCCATGCTGAAAAGAAAATGAGTACCACCATTCATTTTAGTGAAATACGTTCCCTGAACAACATATTTAGTCTCTACCTTATGCCTCTTTGGATGCACATATTTACTCTCAAGTGTCTTTTCCTCGGCTATTCTTTTCTGCGGAAAGGCTATTGATGTTACTCCTAGATCTTAGGCGGTACATTGTCTCAGCATATGTCTGCTTCTTTGATACTAGTCCATTATTTCCTTTTACTCCAAAATAGTCAAATGTTTCTAGTAAGTTACAATCATCCTCTCCAGATGTCCTTAATCTTCCGAATGCACCCGCCCTTATATCTATTCCCACCTACCTTTCACACCTATCAACAGAGACCACTTCCACCACCTTCTCCTTAAGACTCATCCCCTACTAGGCTACTATGACACCATATGGAATTTGAATTTCTGTGTGTCTAATTAGACTGAACAAGGTTGTTTTTGTAATATATTTACAATGACTACAAATGCAGTTGCTAATTCTAATCCTATTAGCAACTAATGACACAAGGCATGTTTTACCTGTGAGTAATTCTAACACTACTCTTAGAGGTTGAGTGTCAAGCCTAATTCAACTTCAAAAGCCAGCCAAAGAGGTGAGGATTGTCTAAACCTTATAATTACTACTTTGGTCATATCTCTAGTTGACAGAGAAATTCAACAACTACAAATTACAATGTTTCTTAAGGGAACAAAGCACAAAAATAATCCTAGCATCACTACAAATCTAGGAGAAGAGCATACTAAGCAGAAAAGGTAATCATTATCTGCAATTGTATGATCTTCATTTAATCAGCTTAGCCATCCCTATCTTAAACTGTCCACCGGTGGAGATTAAACCATGAACTGGAAGTGATATTAAAACAAACTTCTGTTTCTTGACAGTATTTAGGTCTGCAATCTGTCCACCCTTGGAAAGCCAGTTAACTTAAAGTGTTGAGTTTCTACAAACATAATCTGCTAGTAAATGATGTTTCAGTCACATTGACACTGGGCTAGAGATCACATAAAGTGGATTGCGGCGAATGAGTTCCTTAAGTTACCTCATCTTTTGATTAGCAAATATGATTCCAACATAAGTATCAGCACATGTAAATCCATAGTTGCAGTGACCAATACTATTACTACCAATGAACATGTGGCGTGGTGTGTAAAATTAATAAATACAGTCCAAGAGGTAAGATTCTTTAATCTTAAAATATGATGAAAGAGTGGTGTTCAAAGAGAGTCAGGTATTGATCATTGTCATGATAACTGATAAGAAGAAATCAGGCATGCAACAAAAGGAAAATGAAACAAAGGAAACTTCAAGTACTTGTGTTATAAAATGCTTGGAGCATAGTGATAGCTTATATGGGGCAACACAGCCTGAATAAAGAATGAATAACTTGATGGTAATAACACCGAACATAGACATTTCAAAAAACAAAGATCAATAAAATCTGAAAGCAGGTCCATAACCTGTTTAACTTCATGCCACATGTCCTTCGCGGAGATGCCTTTGTGAGAACCGGATATAACAAAGACAGGGCATTCTGAGATATGAACATATTCAGTCTCTTCTGCTGCAATTGCAAATGTGAGCGGAGATTGCTCATTTGCAGTCCTGTAGATGCAGGTATCAGTTAATTTTTCATCCATTGCCTAAAAATGTATTAACAAGTTAGAGAGTTACTTGTGATGTAGAAGCACACCATGTACGCCATCAGGCCTCCTAGCAAGAGGTAATATGTATCTTGAATGTTAGAATGAAGTAAAGGCAAGGTGTGGGGATGGGGAAAGCAATCAAATGGGAACATCTTCATGTAGATTGTAAACCAACAGACAATTTTCTTACTTTATCTTTGAGTTGAAGTGATGACCAGTAAATTCAGATTGCCCTCCAACAGAATTCTGAATGTACACAACAAATTGGTTGCACTCAATACCTCAAGAAACATATTGTAACAGTAAAGAGCCAGCAAAAAAACATTTCACTTACAGCCCATGTGAAAAGCAAGGTGACATCTACTGTTGTTTTGCCCAAATTATTGAGCTGTATCAAATGAAATTGACTGATTATCATAACTTGATAGGTATAAAACTATAACCTAGAATATAATGAAGTGACCTCCACCTACCGTAAAAGTAAAAACGGATATAAGATAGCTACTCTCCTTGTAGTTATGGGGTATAACAGGTGAAATCTGGCGACAAACTATTTTCAATGCTGGATCAGGTTCTGCATGTGAACAATAGAGATGATCAAGGTAAGAGATGCAATGCAGTATAATTTATAAATACGGTAATGGAGTTGGAAGTGTGTGAATTAGCGTAGCTCACCCTCATATACTATCCAAGCTCTTGGGTATAATGCGTGAAACGTCTCCGTCTTCGTGCAGCCGATGGCGGATCTGCGAGGAGACGGAGGATCTGTGAGGAGCGGCGTAGGCGAGACGGACGGAGTAGCGGCAAGGGTGCGTTCGTGGGTCAGAGAAGTTGAACAGTAATGAAATAATTCGCATTTAGGGGTTATTTCAACATTATATATATATATATATATATATATATATATATATATATATTAAATTTTACATCGGTGCAAGCATTGGCCCGATGTAAGGGTTCAGACGATTATGTTTTTTACATCGGTGCAAGCAGTTGCCCGCTGTAAGGGTTCGGGCGCTGATGTTTTTTACATCGGTTTAACGAATGGCCCAATGTAAGGTTTTTGATGTTTTTTACATCGGTGGAATAAATGGCCTGATGTAAGGTTTAGCCTATTTTTTATATTACCAATCTGCCACAGACTTTCTTACATCGGTGGATTGCAGGAACCGATGTAATATCTGGCCAATTTTTTATTTACAATTCTGCCACCTGGTTTGTTATTTACAAAACTGCCACCATGTTTTTTTCACGAAACCTTTTACATCGGTGGATTAAATGGCCCGATGTAATAGATAGCGGAAAATGTTTTTTTTCATATTATTTATATCATTGCAAATAAATACCTGATGTAAAATATTTTTAATTTTATTTTTTACATCGTATATTTTTATACCTGATGTAAAAACCTTTTCTCAAATGTCATTTTTTTAGTAGTGAGAAAAGTCAAATAACCTGAAGAAAAAGTGATTTCGTTGTTGGTGTAATCAGTTATGCATTCACAGTAACCGGTTACCACTGTTAATATTTTTATAAGTTTTAACAACTGTAACCGGTTACGGACCCAAAAATTTAGTTTTTTTCTAGTTATTTTGACATGTTGCTTGCGTCACAATCCACATGTAATTGTTGTATAAATAAATTGGAGACATCCTCATCAATACTTAATGAACATATACATTATTACTCTCAATTATCTCTTTCCACCTCTCTCTCTCTCTCACTCTCCACATTCAAGATCTCTATTTTCACCAATCATATGATTTCAAGTTCTAACAAAATGATAGAGTGGAATTTTGGTACCGTAGAGCAAGTTTTCGATAAAACGGATAAAGTATGAATTTTTAAGATTAACACTTAAACAAATATGTTAGTGAATGAGTAATTAAAGAGTATAATAAGTTAGAGGTTAAAAGATATCTCAGATCTCGCATGAGATTCCTTATATATGAGAAACGATTATAGAAGGCTCGTGCTTCTCAGCATGGAGCATAGGAGCCGTTAGACAATATATAATGGTGAATAATTATTTTTGGTGTGGATTGAGTGTGAGTCACAAGATAGACGTAATGTACCTATAATTATCAAAGAGATATACTATCATTGAAAAAAACAATAACCAGAGCGAGAAGAAACAACCAAAGTGAAATTAATCCAAGTAAAAAAAGAAAAGTAACTAAACCAAAGAATATATAGAAAGAAGCAATATAATAGAAGAACCAAGAAGAGAGAAGCCAAAGAGAGAAGCAAATCAAATAGAACCTAAATGAACCAAACAAAATCAAATGGAATCAAAACAAATCAAATAGAATCAAATCAAATGAAACTAAATTATATCAAATCAAATTAAACCAAACTAAAATTAACAAAATCAAAACTAATAAACCCAACATCGCTGAACATATTTCTCATTTGCCTTATGCTGCCCTTTATGGCCCAATGAATACAATTACTAATTTATTATTTACTAAATTTAGCACTATATAATTAGAGACAGATTTAATATATTTTATTTTTAACTTTTATCACTAACTTTTTAATTAAAAAAAAAGAAAAAGATAATAATAGCAAATTTCAATGTAATTACTAGAATAGTTACAAAACATGATGTAAAGTTACAAAGTAAAAGGAGAAATATTAGCATGATTATCCAAATTGAGATTCAGATGAGAAAAAACATATTATGCTTATGATGAAATCCTACAAAATACAGCATGTCATATAGTTTTGCTAACATGGAAGTTTCTTCTTTCCTTCTATAGATACAGCTAATTCTCATACAATAGTACCTAACATTAATCACAACCAAACAACCAAATAATACACCATTCTCTACCTGATCTTCTTATCAAAACTCCTTTCTGAGTAAACTAATCTACCCATTAATTATCATCTTTATTTTTTCATTTTTTTCCTTTCTTTCTTCATCATTGTTCATTCATTAAAGGTCTTTTGTTTTTTGCAGCATTGGATCCGACGTTAGTTTCAGTCGGAACCACATGCATAATTTCTTCCTCTCCCTCGTCCTCACTGTATAGAAGAGGGAGAGATAGAAACCTTAACCCTATCATCATTTTCAGGTATGTTTCTTTTCATGTGTTCTTGTCTTCTTGAACACTTTTTTTTTGTTGTTTGTGAATTTTGCATTATCTTGATTCATGTGTTCGAATAAATAATATTTCTAACAACATTTTCAATTTTTTTATTGTTTAATCTTTATTTTATCAATAAACATGCAACCAAAGAACATCAATCTTTTCCTTTTTTTAATGTTACTTCATAGATGCATTGAACAAAACAAGATTATATGTCTTTTTCTCTTTACAAGGTTGTTTATGTGTATTCTCTTTTCTATTATTTTTACATGTTTTGGCTTATCTCATGTCTCATTTTGGATCTTTTTCCTTTTTTTTTTTGTCTAAGACACATGCACACAACAATTGATGTAGGTTCCTTGAAACAACCCCAAATATATATATATATATATATATATATATATATATATATATATATATATATATATATATATATATATATATATATATATATATATATATATATATATATATATATATATATAAACCGTTTGTTATAGAAATAGTTTATATATAAGTAAGTTGTATATTCTGTAACATACGGGATGTATGTAAGTCATATATTGTCTGAGGTAAGACTCTTGACTGACAGTACCTAGTATTTTTGATCATGGTTGTGTAGATTTTGATTCAATCTTTGATACAATGGGTGGTTGTGTGTCAGTCCCTTCAAAAGCAATGAAAGCACCAAAGAAGCTTCATAGAAGAATAATTAGACGACGTAGTCGAAAGATTTCAAATTCAGTTTCTAATGAAATGAAGAAGATGCATAACAACGCAGGAGTAAAAGTAACAGATTATTCTGTCAGTGAATTTGTTCATATGGATTTCGAAAACGGCGCAACGACAAAATGTAGACGATCTGAAGTTTCTAATTCTGCATACCATCTTACTCAACTTGAATGGCATCATAGTCAATATGATGCTGATGCAAACTGTATAATTGATTTTTTTTACTTAATCAAATTTTGAATTTTCACTCGAGAAACTCATAATGACATTGTTTTTTCTTTGCTTGTTTGTAGTAGTTTGCCAAGAAGAGAATTACTTCGATTCCGTGAGTATTCTAGACTCTGATTCCGATGACGAGTTCAATAGTGTTTATGGAGGTAATAAATTTATACATAAGTACTTATATGATAAGCGTTTAATTCAATATTATTAACATTTTGCACTATTCTGATTGTTGTTTCTTTCGTTGAAGATGGTTTTGCATCGGTTGGAGGCTCGGTTGCAAGCATACCGTGTAGCCAAGTCCTTCAATACGAAGAAAGATCGAGGTGTGTTCGAGAAAATAACTGTCAATATGAAGAGTATCATGAGAGTTATGTTAAGGTTGATGGAGGGAATAATGCGGATAAGTTAAAAGGACGAGACGAAAATGGTTTTGGCGTAATGAATACGCGTAGTTGTGGACTTTCGCGACTAGGAAAAAATCAAGAAAGCTTTAAGAGTTTAAAAGAAGTTAAAATTGAAGAGAATGGTCAAGAGAATGCAAAGAGATTAAGCTTGCATCGGTTAGCGCCGGCCGCTAGTTTTAATAGTCGGCCGGGGAAAAAGTTATCGACAATTTTCAAGCTTTCGTTCAAGAGAAAATCTTGTGATGCAGAAGAAGCGCCCGAACTTGGTAAGTGTTTGAATCAGTAAAATTTTCATTCATTGCATTGAACAATACAATCACTTTTTATGTTGATTAAGCTTCTTGATCTTGTGTATGTAAAGGTCAATCAAAAAGATGTTTGATTCGTCCACGAGCGGGACTTATAATTCCGTGTCAGAACGGAGAGAAATTGTCTATCGGATGTTGGTCTGAAATTCCACCTTCAACGTTTCAACTCCGAGGCGAAAACTTTTTCAAGTAAGTTGGTTTGAGTCGCATTAAATTTTGTAACTTCTAGTTTTTTTATCGAAAAAAACAAACAGACAGATTAACAGATAGACAGACGGACAGACACACTAATGTCTGTCTAGATGCTGATTAGGCAGACGGACAGACACACTAGTGCCTGTCTAGACGCTGATGGAAATATAATAACGTAATCGTTCACTTTGTTTTCAGAGACAAAAAAAAGACGCCTGCGCCGAATAATACTCCATACATTCCAATTGGTGTTGATCTATTTGTTTGTCCGAAAAAGATACATCATATTGCTAAACACATTGAGCTTCCAAATGTGAAAACCAATGGAAAAATCCCCCAACTTCTTATTGTAAATATTCAGGTATTTCATTTCCTGACAAGTAGAAATCGAATTCGGTATTATGATATTTTCGATTCTCATCTCTATGCTTTGTGGCAGCTGCCTACATATCCGGCTGCAATGTTCTTAGGCGATAGCGACGGAGAAGGGCTAAGTCTTGTACTGTATTTTAAGGTTTCTGAAACTCTTGATGAACACATTTCTACCCAATTTCAAGAAAACATAATGGTATATCAATTCAAGATACGCGTTACTTGACATATATCTCGATTCTCGGCTTATAATTTAATTATGTCTTGTTTTATGATACAGAAACTCATTGATGATGAGATGGAGAAGGTAAAAGGTTTTGCAAAAGATTCTAATGTGCCTTTTAGAGAAAGGCTTAAGATTATGGTAGGACTTGCAAATCCTGAAGATATGCACTTGAGTTCGACCGAAAAGAAGCTAGTTCAAGCTTATAATAAAAAACCAGTACTCTCAAGACCACAACATAACTTTTACAGGGTAAATAAAGCTCATGAATTCCGTTTTCGCGCTATTTAGGAAAGCGGAATTTTAACAAATATATGTTGTTCTGCGATATGTTAATTAGTACAAAATGTTATCTGATAGTAAATATAACGGTGTTATAGTATTGTTGTATAACAAAATTAGAAGAACCTGTTATTTTTTGTTACTTGCTATTAAAGTCATTGTTTTCAAATAGAAACTTATGACATCTTCCAAATTTACATTTTGATGTAAACCTAAATGATAAAGAAATGATATATTGTTTATTTTTTTCTTAATAGGGTCCTAACTACTTGGAGATTGATCTCGACATTCATCGGTTTAGCTTCATATCGAGAAAAGGACTCGATGCGTTTCGAGATCGTCTAAAAGATGGCATTCTTGATCTTGGTCTAACCATTCAGGTAACGGTTTTAACCATTCTTGATACTGTCACGGTTAAATCGTGATTTAATAGACTCTCTATTTGTTTTGATATGGTAAAACTGCGACTAAAAAGTCCAAAAACTTAAAACGGTTCTGACTGATATTATAATCTTTATATACCAGGCACAAAAACAAGAAGAGCTTCCAGAGAAAGTACTATGCTGCATTAGATTGAACAAAGTTGATCTTGGTAACAATGGCCAAATACCAAAGCTAATGACCCTTGATGGTGAGTGTTAAGAATTTTCATGAAATGTGAAGAAAAGCATTCAAAAATATATGTAATATATTAACTTTACTTAGTTAATTAACTGAGAAAAAAACAGAGTTTAAGTCGGGTAGAGACATATCGAATTATAACGACAGAGACATTTGATTACAAGAGTACATTTGAACTGTCAATTTAGCAAAATTCTAACTATTAAGTTACTAGAAAAAATGAGAGTTTTTTTTATTGGATATGCATATTCATGTATTCATGTATTTATGTTCAAAAATGTACATTCAAAGAAAAAAGTTTAGAGGATGCTTAACATGTATTGCTTGAAAAAGTGATGAAAGGTCAAGTATTTTTTTTATTATTTAATTTAATTGTAAACATTTGAAAATGTTGTATTATGGAAATTAATGACAAATAGTGTTAAAAGATGTACATTTTGACCTTTTGACCATACACTAACGAAAGTTTTATTCACTTGTTTCTATAAATGATTTATTTAAATACTTATAATATACTTGTTTATGTTGGGTAGATCAGAGAAGTCAAAGGGAAGGGGATTACCTCCAGTGAGATTTTCATCAGTTTAAATTTCAACCCTTGAAAATTAAACATTTCTATACTTTTTATTTTGAATATTATTTAATTGGTAAAAATCTTCTGAACAATAATGTCATCGGAGAGAGTCCAAACCTAAGTCAGAGTACCAACATATGCCTAATTACAAAAGAGGAAACAACACATCTCCATTCAAAGTTTTAAGCAATTTCTCATCTCATTGTTACTATATAAAGCGCATTCTTGAAAATTCGAAAATGTTTCTGAATCAATTTGGAAATGCATATTTGAAAGTACCTTCATAAAACAAGCAGTAAATTGATTCGGATATGCATATCTAAATTCACCCAACATGAATTCGAAAATACATATCCGAAAACACTCATGAACTCATTTACTATGCATTTTCCCTTGATTTTGGCACCGTTGTCGTGAAATTGTCGTTGTTGTCAGGGACTCTCTGTCGATTTGACTCAATATTAGAGTCAAAGGAATTGTATTCTTGTGTTCTGGCCCTTGCGTTCCTGCGTTTATGGTCTTTACACGTTCTAATGTAGAAAACTCATTTTTTTAAGAAAATTGATTCTGAATCAAAATTTTACCGAGTTAATTGATCAGAAAAAAAATCAGGAATCAAAGTCCCTTATTTTGGAACAAAATACGAAATATCACCCTAAAAACCCTAAATTCTTTATTTTTTTCTATTTTATTTGATTTATTTTTTGTTTTCTTATTTTCAAATAAATCCAGAAAAAATTGTAAACACTTAATTTTATTTTATTTTATTTTTAGTTGTATTTTCAAATTTTTATAACTTTATTTTAATCGTTTTTTATTTTTCAAGTGTTTTCTTTATAGAGAAATTGTTGGTATCTACATATTTGTTGCATTGCTTCTGCATGGTTACTGTTGAAAGCGGTGTAGCGGCAAGCAACAAAAATTTTAGAAATATTTATCCGAGAATTTATCGTGTCCACAGAGACTGATTATTGAATTGTCGTTCGACAAATCTCTCGTTAATGAGTTTGAGGATAAATGAGTTTGTAAAGAAAAATGTTATCAACAGAAAATAAATATAAACAAAAGTAAAAACTAAGGAAGAACTTATCAAACCTGCATATAATCTACTCATCACAGACTTAAATCTATCGACCAATTACATTCAACCTAACAATACTCATCAATGTCACTACGTATCACTCACAACCTAAGTCATTTCTAACCCAAATTGAGAGATCGACTGTATCACCAAGGAAATGATCTATCTACCTACTCAACAACACAGAAGACAACTTATGTAATCGCACTGACAATCTCTCAGTATAACACAACCACAGAGACATTAAGCTCTGATACCGAAGTAGATGTCAACTCTAAATCTATCTCTAGAGTTCAAAAACTAACAAATAATCATCCTAGATAAGAATCTAAGCAGCATATGTCTATAACAACTCAAATCCCTAGCACAGAGCAAAAATCTAAGATAATAATCGACAAAGATTTTTAAAGCAAGTTTAATATAACGCCATGGGCGACAAACATACATGAGTTCAAAGTAAATACATATACAAACTCAACACATAAAGAATACACAAAGAAGAAGAGAAATGAACCACAAATCTATCAGTTTGTCAGTGCCGATTGAAGAGCAATCAACCCCGAATCATCCGCATGTAAGCTTCAATGTTGTTTTCTAAGCAAATCCTAACAAAAAATGAAGTTTGATAGAGTTGGAATAAAAAATACCCAAAATCATACCCAAAAAAATATGTTTTTACCCCTAAATACGCATTTCTTACTGTCCTGCATCGCCCAATGACCAAAAGGTGTCGCCCAGTAACCAAAACTGCATTTTTTCAACGCTTCAGGTCGCCCCAACATCGCCCGGCGACCAAAAAGCGTCGCCCGACGACAGATGATAGAAAGTTGAAAAACCAGCACAGATTCAGCCATAAGTTTTGAATCGTAACTTCGATTCGCGCACGGTCGGAAGCGTTGGAAAGCTTATTCAATGTTCTATGTAACAATGCCTAAATATCAATGCTTGAATACCTACAAAAATGAGATAAAATCAATTAAACTCAATGATATTTACATTATAACGTAATAAATACACTATAAAGTAAACTATACCGAATATACACTGAAGTATATTCATAAAATGCAAACAAATTAAGCCGATGAGTACTAATTATTCATACTCAAATTCACAACAATTTATCACTCATCAAACTCTCCCCAACATAGAACATTGTTTGTCCTCAAACAAAGTCAAATAAACTTAAAGAAGCAAAAGACGATAATCAAAGAATCACAAATCAACAGGTTTTGAAAACAGAAAACAAATACAATGGTTCAAATGAAAAGCAATTCACAAAAGTAAACACTTACTACTAAACTAAGACTATAACATAAACACGAAACAAATGCTAAATACAAAAATTATTCCAAACATTCTAAAAAAAATACTAGTTCACATATGAATCACACCTAGCAAACACAATCATCGGTAGATGAAAAACACACAAAAATGGGATATTTTCACTCATCCAACAATCTAGCAAACAATAGACCAAATTATGCATTCATCCAAAAATTTACATTAGAAATATAAAAGCAAGAATCTCAAGGGCTTTTCAAGGTTGTAATGTGGCTTGGTTAACAAACAAGTGATACGTCCTAAAGCTAATCGAAACCAAAAATTGTCTAAACCTAAGGCAGTAATTACTTCCACAAATTTTCAAAAATAGAATTTTAATCAAACTTCTTCTTCATCCCAAATTTTAAACCAACACACATCACTTATTCAACACAACATTATTCCATACTCTTTTTGTTTTTCTTTTTCAAAGTTTTTCTATTTTTTCCTTTCTTTTTCTATCACTTTTTTTTTCATTTCTTTTCTCACTTTTTTTTTTCTTTTCAACCTCATTGCAATCAACCAATAAATATACAATCATTTTCTCCCCAACTTGAATTCAACCATACATTAAAGTTAATACCCCCTACTTTCTAAGGCAAGGTAAAATTCAAACCAAAACAATGGTAGAGGGTTCAAGAAAACAACAAATCAACATCTATGCAAAAAGGGAAACTAAACACTCATAGACAAGCATTTAGAAAATACAACATGAATATCAACAAAAATCTCAAAGGGGTTACTAATGATCACACACTCACAAGGTGAATTGACTTATTTGGCCAAGGTAGTTGTGCTTAAAATGAAACAAAAAAATTCCATGATCATGTTCAAGCTTTCATACAATCAACACAAACAAAAGATTAAGCATAATAAAATCCAGTTAAATAAGAAGTGTGATCTCCAGTATATGTGAATAATGGAAAGCTACCTCACAAAAAGGGTAGGAACTAAAGTGATTCACAAACGAACAAGTATACAAAAGAATGAATGATATAAAAATTGTAAAAAGTCTAAGTATCATGAATATTCTAAAGTATAGAAAGCGATAAACACATACCTCGAACGTGTACAAAACTTTAACAAAATCTTTACCACACATTCACAAGTCGAAACGATCAAAATTGACAAATCACCTCAATATTCTACAAGTTACCGGACCAAAACTTGAGTGCAAAAAACAACAAAAGAATTAGAAAAATAATACTCCTACAAAATTTCAATGTACAAAATTTACAATATATACAACGAACAAAACTCCTCAAGCTAAACACAAAAAGCTTTCGTAAAACACAAATTGACATAACAAAACAAATACAAATAACGATATGAAAACCGGGTGAAAATGAATTAACAAGTTGAAAAGTGAAGATTTAAAATTCAGAACATTTCCTTGTTTCAACTTGTTAAAGCACAAATCACCATACGCATAAACAAGTACAAACAAATATGCTTGTTTCACGTCGTAAGCTCGACACCTTTATTGTGCGAGCTAGTAACCTCCTCTCATCATGCCATGGTATTGTCATACCGCATAAACCTAAAGAAAGTGTCCTAACAATCACACAACAAATATTACGAAAACGAGACAATTCACAGCAATACGTGAAAACAAAGAAAAACACACACACACACACACACACACACACACATATATATATATATATATATATATATATATATATATATATATATATATATATATATATATATATATATATATATATATATATATATATGCACAAATATCATGTACAAGTTAATATACAATGCGAAATCAATAGAACCAATCCCCGGAAATGGTGCCATTTTGTTGGAAGCGGTGTAGTGGAAAGCAACATAGATTTGGAAATATTTATCTGGGAATTTATCGTGTCCACTGAGATTGGTTATTGAATTGTCATTCGACAAATCTCTCGTTAATGAGTTTGGGGATAAATGGGTTTGTAAAGAAAATGTTATCAATAGAAAATAAATGTAAACAAAATTAAAAACTAAGGAAGAACTTATCAAACCTGCATATAATCTACTCACCACAGACTTAAC